CCCGCCCCACCCGTGTGGCCACCGAGCCCGGAGGGTGGGGTGGATCTGGTCCAGGAGGGCCGCCCAGGAGGCTGGGACCAGCCGGCCGGGCCTGTGGGGGAGCGATAGCGGTGCAGCCAAAGGGTTGCCCGGGGCCGCCCTCCTCCCAAACCCTCAACCCTCCCAGCTGGGGCCGGGCCGGGCTGGGACGGCTCCGGGGCTGGGCGCCCAATTGTAGCCCAGTAATGTAGTTGGGGGGACAGGGCGTGTGCGGCGCAGGGCCGGCCAGCCCGGCCTCAGCCATGTGGGTGGGGACGCAGGGCTTAGGTGAGCAGCGCGATAGCCCAGGCGATAGCGTGGGTGAGTTGGGGACGGACCACATTTCGTGCGTCAAACTAGAATTGTGACTGTCCCCTAACTGCTGGCTGAACTATTTCCAACGAACTGGCTGTAATAATTTTGGCTTACAGAGTGTCTAACGGAGAAGAAAAACGAAACGTTGTAACGGTTGCCAATATTTGGCGATATACGAAAAGACGGAAGAAATTTAGCTACGCCGAAAACTGTAATAAAATTGATGTTGGTTTCGTAAATGGAGAGGAAGTCTGACTTTGACGGGTCGCCCGCTATCACCTCTCTGCCTGTCGTTTCTTATCCGCCCGCGCGATATCGGCTCGGCCCCGCCGCGCCGTGTGTGTGGTGGGCCCGGTGGGCCTGCCTGTCGCGCACCGCTTTGCCGCCCTCGTCCTCCCGTATATTTCACTCGGTCGCCGTCTTCTCGGTGGTGGACGGGACGGAGGAGAGGCGAGCGTCCGTCCCGTCCGTCCCCACAGAGTGGCCGTGGCGTGCCCGGCCAGCGCTGCACAAAGGGAATGCCGGAGTGGCCGGCCACCGCGCCGCCTCCCATCCCTCAAGCCCTTTCCTCGACCCCCGACTCTGCCCCCCACCCCCTCCGGCTCAAATTGATCTTGTCATTCGAGCTGGTTCGTTTTTTGTCATACTCTTTTTCTTCCACGTCCTCCTCCCGCCAAAGTGCTGGCTGCGATGACTTTGTTGTTGTTGTTGTTGAAAAGGGCGGCCGCGCGCATCAAAGGGAAATTAAAACGAGTACAGACGAAAATACAGGACAAAACTATGAAAACTGATATTCGTGTGTTTTCATTCGCTTTTGTGTTTTCTTCCGTCTAAATAGGAACGGAGACATATCAGAGCTGAGCCTGGACGCCATCGTGCACAGCACCAACGAGTCCATGTCCGAGAGGACTCCGCACAGCGACCGCATCCACCAGCGGGCGGGCCGCGGGCTGCGGGACGAGATCATCAACGAGGTCATAGGTGCGTCTGTCCGTCCGTCCTGTGCTCGTCCTCGTCGGAGCTGCGCGCCATTTGAAGCGCCCCGCACCTCCGCCACGCCCCGCCACGCACAGCACCTCCCCGATGTTGTCTTGCCGTGTGTGTTTTCACGCCGAGGGCTCCGCGCGTCAGTGACTCGTTATCTGTTTGACAGTTGGTCGCGCCGCACGGCGGGCCAGGTCGCGGCGTGCACACCTAAATAACGTTTTCTAAAACATATAATTAACGTTACAATGTGAGACTCCTCTTCTCAAACTTTTAATTTTATTTTGACAGAGTGTCGGACCGGCGGAGTGCGGGTGACACAGGGGCACAACCTGCCGGCCAGGTTCATCATCCACACCGTGGGGCCCAAGTACAACATCAAGTACCAGACGGCGGCGGAGAACTCGCTGCACATGTGTTACAGGTAATAAAGGGCCGGGCAGGCGACGCGACTGCACCCAGAAAACCGTTTCTTTGGAGAAAGGAAAATTTAATTTACCGCAAAGAAAATTTTGTGCCAGAAACCAGGGGCAGTTTTTGGGGTTGATGAAACCACTTATGCAAAACGGGGGGGGGGGGGGGGGCAATAACTCCGAATTCAAGTGTACACAGTACACATGATTTCCCGTCGATTCCCATTGATTCCCGTCGTGATTCTCATTGATTTCCGTTGGTTTCCGTCGCGATTCTCATTGATTCTCGCTGATTCCCGGTGATTCCCGGGCCGGTGTGTACACATGATTCTCAGAGTAATTGCTCCCACGTGTAAAACAACGAAACTTTCGGCACGTTGAACAAATTTTGCCTAGGCTAGGCTAAATATATCGTGATTAGTTATAGAAATCATGATTTCGCTCCCACAAAGAAAGTGTTTCCTGGGTGTTCACCGCTAGCTGCATCTGCACAATTAAGTTCACCACTACCTGTGCCTTCTTCACCTTCCAGAAACGTACTGCAGAAGGCGAAGGAACTGAACCTGCAGTCACTGGGCCTCTGCGTCATCAACTCGGTGCGGAGAAACTACCCTCCAGACCGGGGGGCGCACATAGCCCTACGTGAGTACACGCCGTCTCTCTTCTTCTCGTTGCTCCGCCCCGGTTCAGCGTGATGACGCCCTTCTTGCGCGCTCCGCAGGCACGCTCCGGCGGCACCTGGAGCTGCCCAGCTACTCGCAGCTCGACGCCGTGGTGCTGGCCGTGGACAACGTGGACCTCAGCATCTACGAGGTGCTGCTGCCGCTCTACTTCCCCAGGTCCTCCGCCGAGGAGGCCCAGTCCCGCTGGCTGCTGCCCGCCGACATCGGCGGCTCGCTCGGCGAGCCCGTGCTCCCCGACCGGCAGATCAGGATCATCGACAACCCGCACCACGCCTTCACCGGTGAGTGCACGACACGACACGCTGCAGAGGCCAGGACAGGCCAAACACAATAATTAATGACTTCGCTTCGGTGGCACTTCGGCACTTCCCGGAAATCCGAGGGGGCAATAACTCCCTTTTGAAGTGTACACATGATTCCCGAAATTCTTGATTCCCGGCGATTCCCGTCCGCTTATAATTATTACATAGGTTTTTCGGGGGGTTTTAGTGGTACAAAACGCTTATTTCGAATGATTTGACCTTATTTCTCTAGTTTCCCGCTTATTCTAATCGATTTCTATTGATTTTGATCAATTTTTATCCTGATGATTCCCAGACAGGTGTACACATGATTGCCGGAGTTATTGCCCCCTCGCGGAAATCTGTTTCTGAGAAGGCCGTGATCAAAGTAAATGTAATGTACCACGGCGGCGGCTCGTGGGTGGCGGGAATAAGGCAAACTAGCCCGCGACACTACTGGACTACTGGGTTGATCGCTCGGCTCCGACACACACACCCGGTACGCCTCGTGGGCCGGCCTCGAGACGGGACGGCACGGGCGTGCGCGGCTGCCGAGGCGGCTGCAGCCCCGGTGCGTTTGGCGCCTGTTTGTATTATCGACGTCCTGCTGGCGCGGCTGGCGCGGCTGCCGGCGCCGTGCACCACCAAAGTGTACTCTTCGTCCGAATGAGCCGTGAAGGGCCCCGGGGCCGCGGCCAAGTCGCGAGGCGACCTCGGCCCCGTTGCGTGACGGGCCCGGGCTATACAGCCCCTCGGTCCCTTTTGTTGCACCTTTCCTGTTTCCCCCTCCTTTCTCATACTAATTTTCTTCCTAGCCGCCAGAGAGGAACGCGGGGGGACATGATAATGATCACAGTAATAATAATTCGTTTGCAAAGAAAGCAAAGAATGTTTGGGATCCGTGGCGCGAGGCGCCGCCGCCGTTCCCTTTTCATATTCCTGCAATGCCCGTGGAGGAAATGGACGCGAACGCGTTTGCAAGCAAAACAACAAATCTTCCGCGTGCGTCGGCGTGGCTGGCGCGGCCGTGGACTCATCCTGGCTGTTCCACATGAGTGCCTCCGGACCCCGCTGCAGCGCGCTGGACGGAGGGTACCCGCCGCCCCCGCCGGCCAGCCCGGACGGGGCGAGCTAGCAAGCGGGCGGGGGCGGTATTAAGAGGATGACCTACTTTCAGTATCCGGTCGAGATTTGTCACCTGAGGCGGGGCGGGGCGAATGCGCGCGGCGCGAGCAGGGAGGAAGGGCTACTGGTGGAGGGTTGGGGAGGGGGGGGGGCGACACAAGGGTAGAGCGGGGCGAGCTGAAGCAGGCGCAGGGCCTCGGCCAGAGGGGAGTAAGTGACGCCGCGTGAGTCATGCGCCACCCTCTTCAATCAGGGAAAGCAGCAGGTTCCGCCTACTCTACGAGAAGCACTGGGGAAGATGAGCATCACGGAGCAGCCTGTGCAGGGCGTAGTTCTAGGACGCCCTGCTTACACTGTAAAATCCAGGTGTTCTGTGAGAGACCGCCTTGGTCGCTTGAACCCAAAAGTTATGCGCCTTATGTCGTTTGGTGGGAGGACGCCTTAGGCGTTCTCCAGAGCACGCTTTTGGCGTTCTCTCATAACACACCTTGGGTAAAAAGCATGGCCTTGACCACGTGGACGCGCAGGCTCAAGATGTGTAGCAGCAGCACACCCCGGCCAGTTGCTTAGGCGCTGCTGCAGCTCAGGGTGTGCCGGCCCAGCACACCCCTCCCCGTGTAGCGAAAAGGGTCTTTGGAGAAACAGCTCGTGCAAGTTCACGTGGTCAATGCCATGCGTTTTGCCCACGGTGTGCTATGAGAGAACGTCGAAGGTGTGCTCTGGTAGAACGCCTCCCTAGGGCGTCCTCACACCGAACGACAAAGGGCGCGTAATTTTTGGGTGCAAGCGACTAATGCGTCCTCCCATCAAACGCCAATAAGGCGCGTCCTCACGGAACGCCCAATTTTACAGTGTAGTCCGTCCGCATCTCCGAGCCTGGGATGTTGTTTTCGTCATTATTTAGCCATCATGCTCAAGCAGACAAGGGTAGAGATCGCGTCCGCGTCCGTCCAGTCCAACCGCAGCCGCGCCCGCCTCCGCGTCACTGCCTCCGCGTCACCGCCCCCGCCCTGTGGAGGACAGCGATCGCCCCCCACCCTCTCCCCCACCGAGGTCCGCCATTCAACGGTATCGGCAGTCGTTCAATTAATTAATTCAAATGCGCCGGTAGATGAGGACATGCAGGGGGGGGGAGGGGGGAGGGGGCTCTCCCTTCCCTCACGAACAGCTCCTCCCTCCCCCTCCCCCTCCCCCTCCGCCTACTCATCTCCCAACCCCCACCCCGCACCCTCACTTCGGCCCCTCCAAACCTCCCGAGCGAGGCAAGCTGAAGCCCTGCAGTACGCTATTGCAGACAACTGTCCTTTCGTCCCTGTAGGACGCTACAGTATATACCCCCCCCCCTCTGTCCCTCCTTTACCTCCCCTCCCCTGGGTACCTGGCTGCCATCTGCCGCTGCGACGCCACCTGGCCAGTGTCATGGAACACCAATGGCCCCTCTTACCGAGAGAGACAGCAACTTTTTGTTTCTCCTTTATTATTATTTTTTGTGGCCAGTTGCTTCTTCCCCCTCAGCCCTTTCCCCTCCCCCACCTCTCTCTCTCTCTCTCTCTCTCTCTCTCTCTCTCTCTCTCTCTGTCTCTCGCTCTCTCTCTCCCCTGTCTCTGTCTGAAAGCGTCTCCACGCCGCAGCCTTGAGCGAGCATGACTCTGCTATCTTTGGACAGCCCCTTTTTTGCACCCCCGTTCCTCCCCCCGCCCTTCCCGAAAATCGCGAGACGCACACCATGACGATGACCCGAGCCAAGCTATCCATCTATCCATGTATCAATGACAGGCTTTGGGTAGTGGGCACAAGTCAAGTCACATCCCGAGCTCCATCTTATCTCTCACACGACGCATCTACCTAGCTAGTAGCTATCTAGCTAGCTAGTAGCTATCTAGCTAGCTAGTAGCTATCTAGCTAGCTAGTAGCTATCTAGTTAGCTAGTAGCTATCTAGCTAGCTACTTAGCTATCTATCTATATATCTATCCACCTACTAACACATTCACCCTACAGCGCACCCCAGCCTGGTCGATTATTGGTGGCTCGTCGAACAAGGCATGTAACGAGTGTTATCAATGTATGCTGTCCCTCCCTGTCGGCCGGCGAGAGTTCTTCCCCCACCGAACACCCAATCAATACCTTCTGCCCAACCCCTCCCCCTCCCGCTCCGACCTCCCTCCCGTCCCCCTCCCAGGCGTCGCGCTGCTTTAAGAGGTCACAGGACTCGATCCTTTAATCTGTTTATGCCCCCTCCATACCCCGTCACCGTCCTCAAGCACCACTCCCCCTTCTTCCCCACCTTTTTCTCAGACACCTGTCCGAACCGTCACATAATAAGGACATGGCGACGAAGCACCAGCAGATACCCCTTTTTCCTTTCTTCTCTTCCCTTTACTCCTTTTTCTGCTGCACAATTCAAAACAGGGGCATGGACCGGGAAATGAATCCCTCCTCCCCACCATCCTTCCCCTTCTCATTGTTATATTCAGCGAGGGTGATGACCTGGGGACCCGCCTGGGCCGACCCCCTTCACGGCCGTGTTTCCCACACACACGCTCCGCGCGCAAGTAGTCTTCCACGGCCGCGATGGCAGAGCTGCAGACCGACCGGCCTCCCCGGGCTTATCTGCGCAGCACAGAGGTCTTTAGCGCTAAAGTGTGCCATTAACGATTAACGCCCCTCGGACGCAACACCCCCAGGAGCTGCCCGGGGGGCCCCGGCCCCGGACTTGCCGGACAGTAGTTAAAGGATTATTAAATTAATCCGCAAGCTTCAAATGGGATTTCGCTCCTTGAATAATATCGGGCAGCGACCGGCCCGCCGGCGGCGGCGCAAGCCCGCCGCGCCTCGGCACAAAATGGAAAAGTTAAGAAAATGGAATTCCCTCCCCATCCTATCGCCTGCCTCCTCTGCCTGCACTTTCTCAACCGTCCGCCCCGCGCGGTGGCCGCGGTCCCTTTGGCGACTCGCTGGCTGGGCTGGCTGCCCATTGTGAGGGCGGGGCGGCCGGCGATGTTTGGGTGAGTAAGTTTGATGAAAGGAGACAAGGCACGAGGCCCCGTCGAATATCGCACCCACCTCTCTCTCTCTCTCTCGCTCACTCACCCCGCCTCGTCGACCGCCCTCGCTCTTTCTCTCTCGCTCCCTTCGGGCGCCGCTGGACCTGCTTGCTATGCATTAGTCGCGGCCGGCGCGGAGCGGGTGGAGCCGCGCGCGGGTCTGGAGAGCGGCTGGAGGCGGGGCGGAGCGGGGCGGGGCCGGATGGTGAGGTGGATGACGCGGCCGTCCACGGCGGGTAAAGCCCCGCGATGACGCTTCTCCGCCCGATAGGCGCTGTTGTTGTCTTCCTCTCCCTGCGCACCGCGGCTGGACGTGACGGCCAGCAGTCCGCGATGGCGGGGCCGGCGGCGGGGCCGGCGGCGGGCCGCCCGCGCCTGACGCGGAGCGGAGCGGCGGGTCGGGGCGCGGCGGGGCGTGGCGGCGCTGGGCCCGGCGGTGCCGGTGAGTGAGAGAGTGAGTGAGTCAGTCAGTCAGGAGTGGCCGCCCAGAGCGGAGCGAGGCGAGTCAGTCGAGCGCTTCGATCCCGCTCCCCGGTCTCCGTCGCGCCGTCGTCGTCGTCCTCGTCGAGCCGTGCCGCGCCGAGCGGAGCCGCGGAGTGTGCCGCGCGCGTGCCAGCCAGCGCGAGCAAGTGCAGTGAGCAGGCGGCGAGTGACATCAACCTCTCCGCCAAGCGCCAAGGTACGAGGACGCCGATAGTGTGCAAGCTGAGGTCGGCGACCTGTTCCTCTTCGCTGTCGGCGTCTGCTTTGGAGTCGCCAGCTACCCGGTGCTCGCAGCAGAGCCTGTCCGTGTGTGTGCACGGTGCGTTCGTGGGCCAGGGTACCAGCCT